ACAAAAATAGAAGTTATATTTCATTTTTTGTAGATGTTCTCAATATGTTCCCAAGCTTTTGGCAAATGTTCAGAAAATCAGGAAATCGTTTCCAAGAAGGTAGACAGAATGCAAATAAATACATCTTGATCACATCTAGCTACTTTTTTGATAAACACACATTATGCGTGTACCCAGCCTTCTGGATTTGTAGATCAGTTGTTTTTAATTAATTGAATAAAATGATTCCATAAGACTTCAATCTTCGACCTTACATTTCACATAATATTTATAGTTTGCCGCTTTTGACTTATCTACTAATAACTTCACCATGCCTTTTAGGCATAAAACTTTATGCAACTAATTACCATAAAAACTTTGAAGGTTTGGCCATTTTTCTTCATAACTTCAGTAGAAGCGTTTCTTTTCTCTTGAAGGAAAAAATAAAGAAGAATACTACCATTTGTTAGAACAGCACAACCCAGCCCAACTGTGAAGGAAGGTGCCAATTTACCATAAGATTGGGAGCTTCTAATCCATGCTGCATGAATGTATTTTAGACCACCCATTGTTTTCAGAAATGTAAAAATACCTTTATACTAAATCGAGTAAATGTGTCCATCTGGAACCACATTTGCTTGTGTGCACACCCTCCAATTCTCATTTGTACGTGCATATGTGCAAAATGTTTTCAAATGATATTTTTAAGAAATTAACATTCTGATTATAGCACACAAGTCTGCCTATCTAAAAGGATATCCTAAACATTCCTTACATGACTAAATTGTTCAGAATATTCAAAGAAATAGACTTAAGTGGAAATCCCACACAAAATAAATTATAGCTTCATAAGAAAAAGAAAGCCACCATAAACTTATGACTGGATATTATTAGCATACGTAAATATACCTTTGCACCAGAGGGCATCCAGCCCTCCAGTTATAATCAAGTGAAGATTCAACGAAAATTACTGGCACTCTTCCATTTGTGGCAGGTGGGATTAGGGAGGTGGGTGAGCACAGGGTGGATCTATCACTATTCTGCAAATTTTCTTTGGTGATATTATCTGTCAAATCATTAGATATGGCAAAAATATTTGGATATTTCTGGGTGACGTATATCAGTGTGAAGGTGTATATTTTTTAGTGTTTTATCAGAAGGGGAGGGGACAAGATTGGCAGAAACATGGCTCTACCATTCCCAGGGATCCAATACTACGAGTCAACTGCTTTCATTTCTCTCCCCTCTTTAACTGTGACATCCTCAAGGGCAGCAACTTTATCTGTGCTCCTCAGAGCCAAGCACAGTAACCAGCTTCAGCAAGTGAAGGGACCCCAAGAGGGATGAGGAAGCTAGGAAAAGAGTGCTGACTCGCCAAAGAAGATGGAGTTGGTGGGAAGAGCTAGAGAAGTGCCTCAGCCGTGAGCAAAGCACCATTAGGGACGCCTGTAGCCCCTAATCAACAACTGAATAATTAGGATGCAGAGAAAAGTAGTAGAGCAGGCTGCTGCAAATCAGTTGGGAGATGGGTTTAAAAAAAAAAAAAAAGGCCAACACAATTATCATCTGTGGTTATGAAAAAGAAGGTGTTGTACAAAATATAATTATGTGTTGAATCTTCTGGAGGCATTTCTAATGAAAAACATTCTCTAGGAAAGATTAACCAGAAGTTGTGTCCATTGTCTGATACCGAGCTTGTAGCTCTTGTTGTCTCCTTTCTAAGCCTCCATAAATCCATGGGAAGCTTCTGTTTATCGATTTTATTTGCAGAATGCACTCAGGGCATAAAGTAATTTGATTTTTTTTAAATGGGGTTTAGGGTCTGCCCCTACAGGGTTATAACTTACCAAGCATAAAAGCCAACACAGAAAAACAAACATACAATTTAAAGAGAGCAGGGCTCAAGGCAGCAGAACCTGGGAAGCCAGCAAGATGGTGGGATTATTCCCAAGCACACCCACCCTCCCGTATATCTGCTGGGCAGAAATCTCCTGGGAGGTGACATTTTGGCTGCCTTTCAGGCATGGCATAGCTGAACTGTTTTGAAAAATGCATCAAGCCCACAAAAAAAGAGCACAATAGTTATTTAGCAAATAAGAGGGGGACAGGAGGATTTTCCTTATTGTTTATCAGAGCTAAAAATAATGCTGTTAATGTTAACCAGCTTTGCAGCTTGTGTAAAATTTGTCTTTTTCCCATGAAAGTCAGCAGCCCAGACTGATCGATGCCGCTAATGTTGTCCCTAATCCAGTGCCTCCCGGGTGTGCAAACTCTGCAGCTTGCAGGCTGTAAACTGAAGAATAATGCCTTGTGTTTTTATACTTCTTTTAGAGAGAATCTTTTTTTTTTTCATTCTGAGCAATCGTGGATAATTAAAGTTTATGGAAGAATTTTTTCTTTACCAACCCCATTAGGGTTCTGTTGCAGTTGTCCGTTGCCTCATAAAAGAAAAAAATGCTGCCGCATCTGTGCCTTAACCACTTTGTGGGGCTTCTCAGCTCCATGCTTCACAGTAAGCCTTCGTGATGAGAAAGCTCCGTACTTGAAACCACAAACGCCGAGGAGGGGAAGCAAGACAAGCAAAAGAATGCCATGTGTGGGGACAGTGATGCAGGGGAGCTAGTGAACCACTGGCCTTTCTGCCTTAGTGGAAGGTAGATAATGAATGGCCTTTGTGAGACTTTTTGGTCATTGCGTAACCATGACAGTTACATAAATACAGAAACGTGTGTACTCAGCTGTGTAATGTCGTAGCCACAACTTCACAAGAGGCAGGGTGACTGTGAACTGCTGCAGACGCCAGTGGTACACCTGGCAGCCAGCAATCAGAATCCTTTGAAATGGAGTCTTAAAGGCAGAGCATCAAAGAGCATCTTCACGATCTGCAAACAGTCACCATGGCTGCAAACGAAAGGGCAATCTTAGCCTGTTGGGAATGGGCCAGTGGGCAATCTCTTTGGTAACACCTACACTAATGGAAAAATATCACCACCCATAACAATGTCTTTGAATATAGATGCAAGGATGCCTCGGGGCAGCAGACTGCCCACTGGGAAGCGTTTTGCCTGACCCATGTATCATTCAAAAGTCCAGAGCTCAAAAAACCTAGTGCAAGAGTGCTGATTCCAGGAAATCTGTAACCACTGCTGGGTTAACAGCCCACATCGCACCTTGTGATCAGCCTCGCGGAGCAGGCAGACATCGTGTGGGTCATAACGTAAGACAGCGGTTCCCAAGAGCTCACCGTGTGCTAAGTCTGGTCTAACCCTCACGGAGGCACTAGGAGTTTGGCATAGAACTGTCCCCATGGAGAGATAAAGAAAGGGGGGCTTTTAAGAGATGAATTAATATGCCCTAAGTTTCCCAGCAGCGAAGTGGTGGAACCAGTAGCACTCTTAACCGTTGGGTGATATTTCCATAAACACCTTGAAAGTGCTTCACTAAGTCATAAACATATTTTTTCCAGTGGGCAATACTTTCTGAAAAAGTATTTTCTCGAATTTAGCCATGGGAATGATGTCTTTAAAAATAATACTTATACATTTTAAACATACTGTCATTTACAAATGAATCCACTTGATAAGTTCCTTTGAAGCTAGAGTTTGAAATGTAATTGAACCATCAATTTCTACCATGGATATTATGGTCCTGGAACACATAATTAAATGTGGATTCAGTACATGGCACGGAACCATATTAATATACAAGCTAAGAAGAATGAGACTATAGAGGCATTTCCCAACAAAAACGGTCTGAGGACGTAAAGGTGGTGCAGTGAGCTGGTCCCGGAGTCCGAGGAGTTTCTCTAAGACAGTTTTTCTCAAAGTGTAGCTCATAGTGTCATGTGCTTTAATGTCACCTGGGGGCCTTGCTAAAAATGCATTCCTTGGATTCAAGCCCGGGACTCTATGTTTTAATAGTCTGCCTAGATAACTTTTTGCACAGCAAAGTATGAGAACTTTTGATCCAGACTAGAGCAACTAATTAAGCTTGTGCCAGAGATTGCAAAAATACTACAAGGAATAGTTCAATGCAAGATAAGGGGAAAACATGGTCTCTACAAGTCCCTATAGAGACCGGCCCCTCCCGATTCCCAGAGACAACTTGAATCCTGGTGCTGACTCACTGTTTATATATAACGAGAGCTGTCAGTTGTGTTTACAAGGGAGTTGAGCAGCCCTGGGATAGTCAGTATACGCAAAAACACCTCTTCAACACTGTTTTCTGAAATGCCATAATTAGAGATGACAACTTTGGGGTGACTCCATTTTCAGGAATGTGATTTTCCTTTCCACCTCTTCTTTTTGACCTTCCTTGAAAAGTAAAGTAATTCCAAAGGGAGAGCTAAACTAAGTTGCTAGAACTTTTGTGTAAATGTTATCAACTATGAAAAGGCAGGGTTGAACAATAGTAATAACTAACACTTTTAAAACCTTTTGGAATGCATCATCTCATTTTGCTTTGGATAAAACATACCAAGTAGTCGTTATTATCTTGGCTTTAAACATGCGGAGATTGAGGTTTCGAGTCTTACTCGAGACCACGCAGATAATAATGAGCAGAGCCCTTCATTCATTCCTTCAACAAACAGGTATTGAGTGTCTACTGTATGCTGGATACTATTCTGAGTGGTAGGATTACAGTGATGAGTAAAACAGACCAGATGCCTGCTCTCAGGGAGCTTACATTCTAATCACCAATCCAAGAGGTGGACCAAAACTCCAGGCGTTACCACCTCTATATTGAAACACGCTCACCTGCCCTCATGGCCCCTGCCAGCCTCAATCTTCTTGGTCTCACCTACCTGTGTGATGCAGGGCATAACAGGACTCTGGGAACCTGTGGGAGAACGTGGTACTGAAAGTAGGAGAAAAGAGTCTAAGAAAAAAGGAAGTGGGTGGAGAAAAACAAATACATAAAGTCACAACCGCAGCTACTCACTGACTGTATCATTCTGTCTTGGCTCCTGGCTGGCCGTGCCCTGTGTAACACGTTCTACCCTTGTCTTACCTCTATTGCAGCAGTAACATTGGAGTGTTCTTCTGTGGACCCAAAGCTCTCTCAAAGATAATTCAAAGAATGTGCCGCTTATATTCATCAGCTGACCCCAGGGGCATTCATTTTCATTATAACAGAGAAAGCTTCTAGACTTTGGAGGAAAACAATCCACCTGTTGTGTAAGTGGCTGCAATCATATAGGTCAAGCGTCGGGAAACTTCCCCCATAAAGGGCCAAGTAATAATTATTTCAGATTCCGTGGACTACATGGTCTCAGTGGCAACTACTCAACTCTGCCATTACAAGCACCAAAGTAGCCCCAGGACCTCAACAAATGGGCATGGCTGTGTTCCAGCAAAATTTTATTTATGGACACCGAAATCAAATTTCACAGTAGTTTCTTCTGTCATGAAATATTCTTCTTTTGATTCGTTTTCAACAATTTAAAAATGTGAAAGTCATTCTTGGTTCATGGGCTGTCCAAAAAACGGTGGGCCAGATTTGGCCTGTAGGAGGTAGTTTGCTGAGCCCTGATATAGGTCATCTTTCCCAAGCTTGTTTTCATGCTTAACAATATGTCCAAGTGGAGACCAGCATGGCTGCTTGGCTCGAAGCCTCCTTTAGAAGTCATTTCAAATTTCATCTCCCTGATGGCAGAGACATCTGTCTTGTATCCAAACCTGATCTTTTCTGCTTTAAACTTAAGCTCCTTTGTGCTTTTTTTCATCCTCTATAGATCTGAGAAATCACCAATGGAGGTTATCTTTCACAAAAATCCTTTCTATACTTGAAAATGATAATAAAATCATCCTTTACCTATCCCTTTTCTAGTCCAAACAATACTGAACTCTTAACTTTTCAGCCTAAGATATATACCCTAGCACTTCAATCATTCTTGTTGCCCTTCTTCAAATCCATTTTCATTTCTTCACATCCTTTTAAAATGTGTTGACTAAAATGAGACAACGTTCTAATCTAAGCATGACTAGTAGTGGCTAGAAGTGTGATTCTTTTTAGAGCTTGTGTGACGTATGCTTTTCAATACGACTAAATTCTGTTTGCCTCTCCTTTTTTCCTTCCTTCTTTCCTTGATTCCACATTCTTTCTCACTCTCTTTTAACAAATACTTTTCATTACTATCACATTTTGATCTATGATCATCTTGACACTTACACCCCAACTCAACTTCTGCCCCACAAACATACTGGGATTTTTTTTTTTTTATATACTCACACTGAGCCAGTCTTTCCATGCCATGCAGCTCTTTTACCCCCAAAGTGTTCACAAAATAATCCTCATATCGTATAGTTTTCTCTACTATTATCAATTGTTTTTTTAGAACTTTTCTTTCTAATATTTCGAGATTGTTTTCAAGTCTAGCACCAGTGACTAATACTGGTATTTAGCTCAGTAATATCTATAGATTTAATTAGTGATATCTCAAACCTTTTGTTTAGATGTTCAAGTTTAGATTCTTTTGTTTAGATTCAAGTGATCAAATCCAAAGAACTCCATCATGAATTCTTGTAACTGCCTGTTAATGTGAGCACCCACTTGGGAATATGTTAGTAATAACTAGCCATTGAGAATGGAACGTCACCCTATACTTTCTTAGCTTAACAATAACATGTCATATACAATGAAACAAAAGCATTTATTGAAATGAAAATAGACTGTTTTACAAATGCTTCTTATCTTTGTAGACTGCCATTTTTTCATAGAACAGAATTAAATTGGTATGACATGATTTGTTTTTACAATGTTAGGCAACCACGTAAGCTCTTTCAGGTATTTCTAAATTATAAATTGATCATTTCCTTTACTTTATCCTCAGATATTAATGTTGATTCTATAATTTCTAGGGTATATACTTAACTATATTCTAGGAAAAAAGTTGGGTATATTCCCTGATGTCTCAAATATTATTTCTACTAATTTTGCACTGGAATTTATTAGTATCTTTAAGTATTCCTTGGTGAATATTATTCAAACTCCACTAATTTTAATATACCTAATCTTTCTATTTATTTCTCCATTTAAACTTGATTCAGGCTCTACAACTAGGAATTTCTGCAGTCAAATGTATATATCTAAAATCTTTAGCAGGAAAATTAAATATATTAAAAGATTTTCTCTTGATCATATTCAGTTATTACTTTTCTTTCCCTGTCTATTTGTAAATAAAATGCACTCTCTGGTCAACTAATTTTGTCTAATAAGTATACTTGTCATTAAAAATAGATTTCAATCTCTGTACATGTCTCTTAATTTTGTTATAAACCTAAAACTGTTCAAAAATAAACTTTAAAAAAAAATTTTGCTTCATTTTTTAAAATCTTTGCTGTTTGCATCGCTTTTTAGTTTTGAGCTTTAGGTTACTTCTCTACATACGATGTAGAATCTGACCTATCTAGATAGAAAAATTACAAAAAAAGTCAGTAGATTTCTTTAATGCAGCAATAATCAAATAGGAAATGTGGATTTTTTTTTTTTTGCTTTACAATGGTGTGTTAGTTTCTGCTTTATAACAAAGTGAATCAGTTATACATATACATATGTTCCCATATCTCTTCCCTCTTGCGTCTCCCTCCCTCCCACCCTCCCTATCCCACCCCTCCAGGCGGTCACAAAGCACCGAGCTGATCTCCCTGTGCTATGCGGCTGCTTCCCACTAGCTATCTACCTTACGTTTGGTAGTGTATATATGTCCATGCCACTCTCTCACTTTGTCACAGCTTCCCCTTCCCCCTCCCCATATCCTCAAGTCCATTCTCTAGTAGGTCTGTGTCTTTATTCCTGTCTTACCCCTAGGTTCTTCATGACATTTTTTTTCTTAGATTCCATATATATGTGTTAGCATACAGTATTTGTCTTTCTCTTTCTGACTTACTTCACTCTGTATGACATTCAAAGTAGAAACAAAAATGTAGCAAACATAAATTTATTTAACAAGAATTATGCAAGATGACTTGATAATGAGCAAATATTTACAGAGAGAGATTTTTAAATGGGTAGAAATAGCATGTTCCTAAATAGGAATATTAAACATACCAAAAATATTGATTTGTTCCAAATTAATTAATAGGTTAAATAAAATTACAATCGAAATTTAAATTCTCTTTAAAACTTTTTGAAATGGTAGATATGCTAAAGTTTACCTAGGAAAATATATAAGCAACAGAGAAGCAAAACCATGTGAGAAAGAAAAGAGCAAGCAAAGGGAAGAAAAGAAAAGAGGAGAGGAGAGAAAAAAAAGAACAGAACAGAAAGGAAGGGAAGAGAAGGAAGAGAAAGGAAAAGAAAATTCAACATCCAGAGCATCACTGTAAAACAGAAGACTGTAAAGTAACCAGAGAGAAAATGCTGTTACTTACAAATAAACAACAATAAATTGGACAGCTGCCTTTCAGAAGCATCAATAGAGACCAGATGATACTGAAGTAATATCTTCAAAGTGCTGAAGAAAACAATTGAGAATTTTGTGTTCAGTGAAATTATTGGTCAAAAGTGAAGGCAAGGGCTTGCCTGGTGGTACAGTGGTTAAGAATCCACCTGCCAATGCAGGGGACACGGGTTTGAGCCCTGGTCCGGGAAGATCCCACATGTTGTGGAGCAACTGAGCCCATATACCACAACTACTGAGCCTGCCCTCTAGAGCCCGCGAGCCACAACTACCGAAGCCTGCATGCCACAACTACTGAAGCCTGCGTGCCACAACTACTGAAACCCGTGCGCCTAGAGCCCGTGCTCCGCGACAAGGGAAGCCACCGCAATGAGAAACCCGTGCACCGCAACGAAGAGCAGCCTCCACTCACCGCAACTAGAGAAAGCCTGCGCACAGCAACAAAGACCCAACGCAGCCAAAAATTAATTAATTAATTTTAAAAAAAAATGAAGTCAAAATACAGATATTTTCAAACAAAAGAAAATCCTGTCATTTATCTCCCTCACTGAAACAACTACAAAAGGATAGATTTAAGGAAGGAGGAAATTCAGTTAATGAGATACAAAAAGCAGTGATGAGCAAAGACAGTGAGAAATATTTTGTCAAAATCTCTAAGCATTGGCTGTAAAAGAAATAAATGATTATTTCAGAAGGAATGCTTTTAAAAAGCAAAACTAAAATACTGGATGACGATAATATGGAAAATGGGAAGATGACACTAGAATTGAGGGATTCTAAGGTCCATATAGAATTGTTCAGGAGTATCCAAGAAATATTGACTAAATGTAGCCTTTTATTAAGTTCTATAAATAACTTTAAAAGGAATAACCTGAAATGGATTCCCTGCTCACCACCATTCGTTGTAATATAATTTCTCTATTCTTGAGTTTTTATTCAGCCTAAATGACTAATTTGTTAAATTAATTGTCAAGCAATATGTTTTAAGAAGGACTCATGAGTGTTATATTCCCTTAGTTCATATTTGAGAATGTCAGTCTGTTGCTTTTTCACTCAGCTGACAGTTGGTTGCATCTAGTGCTCTTAGACCATATTCTTTTCCCCTCAGAAGTTTGCAGTATTACTCTGGTGTTTTCTGTCATCTAATATTGCTGTGGTGAAGTATGAGGCCAATTACATTCTTTTCCCTTTGAAAATAAATTCCCTTTTTTGCCTAGATGTCTAAATAATTCTTCTTTATCTTTGAAGTTCATAACTTTTTGGTATTGAATACTTCATACTGATTTTTCCTGTATTACAGTGTGCTTTTCTGAATATTTTTTCTTCATTTCAGGAGAATTTTCTTGCATTAGGTCTTTGGATACACTTCTATTTCCTTTGTCTTCTTATTTCAGAGACTTCAGTTATCCCTGTACTGGATCTTTTTTCTTGTACGTGAATTTTTCTAATTAATCTCATTGTCTCTTTAATTTACTTGTGGCTTCTCCTATCTTCTTACTGGTCCACAATCTTTCTGAAATGCTTAGAGCCATATATGTTTTGGAATTCAAAATTATTTTGTATTGTAGAAAATAAATGTATATTTCATATATTGCATAAACTCCCAGTAGAATCAGGGGCAGCACCCAGCACTCAAAAGCTTTAATGTTTTTCAATGAAAAGTATAAATATGAATATTCAAATTAAGTGGGATAAATAAAGATCATAAGTAACTTCATATCTGTTTAGGATAGGTTATGCTGCCAAGTAGGTGACCAAGAAAAACCCTCTAAAATTCTTCATTTTTAAAATTTTGAAAGTTCAGCTTAGGGAGAGATTATGGGCTTGGAATATGCTTTCAGCAATAAATCTTACTGTTGACAATTTTTTAATTAGTTCTGTAAAGAAGCTGTTTGGAGCCCTTTGTTACTTTAGACCTGCAGTATCTCTGTTGATTTCATTTTGTTATTTTATAATTCTGTCTTTTTTCTCTTTCTTATTAAATTAATGTGCTCATTAAGTTCTCCATTACATGAAAGAATATTGAGGAATTACCTGAGTTATCATTTCTACTAGATTTGGTTAATTCATTCTTATGGTTGTTTTCTCTTTTTTCCTGTAGTATGTCTGCAAAGTTGCTATGCTCCTTGTATTTTTTTTTTTACCTTGTTCATGTTAGTTGACTCTGTCCAGTTATTTTATTGATTCTTCCATATTATGAATACTTTCTTGGGTTTTCTTTTTCCATGCCATCTCTAAAACCACCCTTCTCTCCCCCTCTCTCTCTCTCTCTCTCTCTCTCTGTCTCTCTACTGTAACACCTTTATTAAGGTGTAATTCACAACCATAAAATTAACCCACTTAAAGTATACTATTCAGTTGTTTTGTATATTAACAGAGTTGGGCAAGCATCACCACAATCAATTTTACAGCAGTTTTACCATTACAAAAGAAAACCCATGTCAATTAGCAGTCACTGTTCAGAATGTACACTATATTCATGTGCAGATTTTTGTGTGAATCATGTTTTCTCCTCCAGAGTTTGGTTTAGCCTGAGTATTTCATGTTTTATCCACTTTTCTGTCATCTGAGAGAACAGCAGCTGGGTTGGAGCACAGTGTAAGAGAGGAGGGAAGCTCAGCTTGAATGGTGTACAGACTATCTTAGATTTCCTGGGCTCCATTTTATCTTCTAAGAGTATACTGTCTGTCTGGTATCTTGGTTTACTCCAACTAACTGGGCGAGGGAGGGTGTAGTGTATTTCCATGGGGAGATACTCCCAGGCTTCAGACCATTTTGGGGGAGTTAAGTGTGAAGCTTGGATCTGTCTCTTCCAACAGGGAAAGTCAGCTCTATTGATTTCTTTCCCTCTCCATTCATAGCTTCCTAGTGGAAGAGGAAAAAGATAAGAATACCCTTTCTCTTCACTTCTTTCCAGAAATAAGAGTATTAGTGACTCAGGAGTGAAGCTTCAGAGGAGTAGAGTGAGGTAGAAGCCAAGTCATACTGTTGGTCTCCTTTCTGCTCCGGAATCCTCTGTGTCTTGTCTTGTGCACAAGTTTTTAAAATTTATTAGATGAGATTTGCCCTTTATTTTGTCTATGGGTGAATGTGTGTGTGACTGTGGCAATATCAATCTACTCTCTGTGGTTGAACGTCCACAATGGTCTCTCTTAACGCACTCCAATTGGATTGTTTATCTCCACAGCTATAACTATTTTCAAGAGACATACCTGCAGAATGTGAAATTCATCTCTTTTTTAGCAGCAACTGAAACAGTTGACTGCTTCTCCCTTCTTCTGACTCTGGTGATATAGTAGCCCCTTAGTTTTCTTCTCAGGGTCCTCTGTCCAACTTTAAAATGTTGGAGTCTCCTAGGACTT